TAGCCAATAAGCTTACAGCTCCTAACATGTTCATTGGTTATCGCGTCGCATTTTGCCGCGCGATAAGCTTTTCCGCGTCCAGTGTGCAGGAGCCATAAGGCCGCGGTCTAAATGCACGGTGTAAACGTAGCCAATCATAATAACTAGGCCGGTATACGACCCATGAGAATACAGTCTGTAGACGCGACAGAGAAATATAATTCCCTTTAGGTTTGTTCTTTGTGTATGTTGAATGAACACTGTACTTTCCTCTCTTTCGATCTTCAACGAATTGTTATCTATTTTAAACGCAAAAAAAATACAGCAAATTAGTGTTGATCAAAAATTTGTTTCCTCCAGCTTCCACTAGAAAGAAGTCTGAGAGTGGCCATACCCGGAATTTAGCTGTAACCTTATTTTGAAGCGCCTCTATGTCCACAAAACGTGGACATTAAACTACGTAGCCAATCTCCACGATTCCGTCGGTAACGTCTACGATCCCGTCTGTAATGTCCACAATTTTTTGATTGTATTCTTCGCTATGTCCACGATTTTCGGTCTGTTTTCGGTGTGTAGATAGATAAAGACGAACAATCAATATGTCGGCGCTTGTTGAACAAATTATCCACACATTCGATCTTTATCGTTAAATCGATAATTAGGTATATAGTAGATAATTTTCTCATAGTGTAAAAAACTGGTTCAGTTTCTTACTTTTAAGGTGCTTTTTCATGTTGATGCTCGACGCTCATTTTTAGCGTTAAAACAGATGAACGTGATGAAAATTGAATATCAAAAGCGTCAATTTTAATCACGTGCCTATTTTGACGCTAAAAATGAGCGTCGAAGGTCAGCATAAAATATATTCTGTCCCCTCTTCATTATGCCATTATGTTTTAATTTGTTAACTTGCATTAATTAAGATTGAATTTGAATATACTCGCCATGAAAAGATCGTGACGTGTCACCTCGTCGGTAAAATCAGCCATTGGAACGCTACTTACCGACCACAAGGCACGTCACGAGCCGGCATATTTTTGTGATTCAAGGGTATCTTACGTTCAAGGTAAAAATATGGAGTCTTTCGTAATAGTTCGAAGGAATCTGTACGGTGTTTAGGTGAGACCACGTAATTCGGAAGCGATCGAACACGACAGGTGTTGATTTCTGATTCGACCTGTTGTGACCTTTCCCGCAACGTAAAAAGTATCAACCGTCTGAATATAATTTCGAGCAACGATGCTGCAAGTCGACGACAGAAAGGTAAATCTTGAGCTCTTTAGAGTATCTCACTTCCCTATATTATCCGTCAATTTATCCTTCCTGTTATCACGCATCTCTCCGCTCTTTTATATTTGTGTCACATTGTTTCTTATTTGTTGTTTTTCACTTGTTAAGGGTAGACCTTAACAAGAATTGACAGAGTTGTAAAAAGTAGCACGATGTTCCACCTGGCATCTGTTCTCCAAACGTTTGGCGAAGTCCTCTGATCTTCCTCGTCCTGATTCCGCTCCCGGCTACCGAATACATCCCAGTGGATTAGCATTAAGGTTATGCTCGTCGTTTTAACCTGGCGTTTTTAACGCGGTTGAAACTGTTATCTTGTGACTTCTGTTATCTTGAGATGACCTAGAACGCAAGTCCGATTCACTTATGCCCATTTCTATCAATATAGTTTAGTTTTAATCTCGGTTTAACTGACTTCATCTACTAGTTCTGAGAATAAAAAAAAATAAAGAGGAAGTTAACTGAGATTAAAGTTAATCTACATTAGTACGAAACGAACATTCATATCAACGAATAATTTATCGAGTAATAATAATAGTGTGAGTATAATGTCTCAGCTATTACATAATATTATTTCCCGACGTAAATAAATCTATTAAGTTTTCATTTCTATGGAAAGAAAGATTAGATTAAAAACGACGAATTTTATGATCGTAGATATTTTGCTTGGAACAATTAAGGCCCGGTTCCACTAATGTAAGAGCAACTTTAATCTTTGTAACTTCAATTTGCTGTTAATCTTTTTCTAATTCTTGGAATTAGAAAAATATAGAGTAAATTAAACCGAGATTAACTTTATTTTTTTTTAATTTTATTTAAATTGATGAAACCAGGGTAGAGTGACCACATAATTTTTTCTTTAGATCAGAAACGTGAAAATTGAAAATTTTTATGTAATGTATGTACAGTCGGTCATCATACAAACGATCGTCATATAAATAGAATATGTTTACGAATTTATGTAAATTATTTACCAGGTATTGTACGCCTTTGCCCGAAAAAGTATAGTTATATGCATATCTATACGATAACGTATCAATATGCGACACTTTATCTACCAGTCCTGAATAAATAGCAGAAAATGTTATTGAAAAAAAAGAACTTAATTATGTGCAACCTCAATGTCCGATCAATGTCCGATTGTTCTAAAATTACTTTGATTTTAAGCAAGGCTTAAAACTCTTTGTCTCTTTTTCGACTTTAAAACGAGATAGAGTTTTAAGTCTCGCTTAAAATCAAAGTAACGTCGGAGCAACCGGGCTTAAATGTGAAAGCTATCTTGAAGAAAAAAAGATCGTCTAACCATTCAACTTTTTCCCTAAGGTGAAAAGTAAAAATTTTTTATATGTATGTGTGTATACGTACGGTTAAGGCCAGAAAGGTTGCAACTTTTTTTTGATGGATTTCATGGGATCCATGAATAAGAACCAATCGCTCGGTGAGTAGGCTGCATTCCGAAACCCATCGAAAAAAAGTGTTGCAACCTTTCTGGCCTTAACCGTACGTATACACACATACATATAAAAAATTTTTACTTTTCACCTTAGGGAAAAAGTTGAATGGTTAGACGATCTTTTTTTCTTCAAGATAGCTTTCACATTTAAGCCCGGTTGCTCCGACGTTACTTTGATTTTAAGCGAGACTTAAAACTCTACCTCGTTTTAAAGTCGAAAAAGAGACAAAGAGTTTTAAGCCTTGCTTAAAATCAAAGTAATTTTAGAACAAACGGACATTGATCGGACATTGAAGTTGCACATAATTAAGTTCGTTTTTTTTCAATAACATTTTCTGCTATTTATTCAGGACTGGTAGGTAAAGTGTCGCAAATTTATACGTTATCGTATAGATATGCATATAACTATACTTTTTCGGGCAATTGGTAAAGGCGTACAATACCTGGTAAATAATTTACATAAATTCGTAAATATATTCTATTTATATGATGATCGTTTGTCACAGTTACAAGCTAAAAGCCCAAAACGCGCAGGGTAACGGAAGGTAACGGAAGGAAACGCGGAGAATGCATGTATAATTTTTCATTATTGTATTACTGTTAATGCAAAATATATTGGCATGCATATATGTATCTTTTATTTTAAATTTACGATAGTGTCACAGATGCCTAGTTTACACACATACAAACTTATAAATATATATGTCTCCCGCAAGACCGGCCATGTATTTTTACCCAAACCAGCGAGTTGCAAGCATTATCCGATCAAATTCTAAATCTTTGCCGGTATTTTCGGACGCGATAAATAGTTTATTTTTCGAACTGCCGTGTAATTTTAGGTGACAAACATGTGTCTGAATTTATCGATTCTTCTTATTCTTAAATGGATTTCTAATCCGTCTAGAACAGCCATTCTACAATGTGCTCTTTGTTTCCTGTTTCTTGCTATTTGTTTCTGTTTGTCTCTTGCCTTTTGGTTAAAGAGACAAACAGCAAGGAACAGGAAATAAAGAGCACATTGTAGAACAACCATAATGCGGGGTCTACAATAGAAGTCGTAGCAGTCGTAGGGGCTTAAGTCGTAGAAAATTGACCAATCACAGTCGAATATGAGAAGAATAATCAACTGTGATTGGTCAATTTTCTACGACTTAAGATCTTACGACCGCTACGACTTCTATTGTAGACCCCGCATAAGAGTCACAGTGCCATAACACATCGATCCTGTGTAGATATACTTAACAGAGTTTGGCCATGGGAATTTTGTCAAAACGAGTGAAAAAAGAGAGTGTATATATATATATATATAAAATTGTGTATGTATACTTTTTATATATGCTATCTCATTTTAACTTGTATAACTGTCTTACTTATTCTAACTTGAATTCTATTGAAGTTAACAAAAACGACGGGCCAATCAAAAGTTTATTATCCCGCAGACAGACTCTTATAGGGGGTGGGTTTCATTTTTGACGTTCACTCACGAGTATTATTTGTCCTTGTTTATTCGATAAATAATAAGGGCGAAATAATTCTACGAGCGTCAAGTAGAATCCTTTCGCATCCAGGATCTCCAATCCTGTATAAACAGAGAAGATTCGCGCCCGAAAGAGTCCCGTATCTCATTTGACCGGACGTCACGTGTGTGTACGCATTTATTTTTGTGTTTGGTGGAGCGCGCCTTGCCGCCGATCGCCGCACGCGCGATGTCACAGTCGCATTTCACGTCCGCCAATCATCCGTTACGCTACAAAGTGCCGCACATGGAGTACCTGTTGCAAGTAAGTGGTAATCGTCGCTGGCTTCTGTCTCTCCACCGGTCTCTCGACCGCGGGACCGTTTCATTTCGGTATTATAATATTCATTTGAGTTAAGTCCGAAAGATTCTCGATTACTTTCCGACGAAAAAGACTTCGCAGCCGAATTAAAATCTCGAGAGATCCCCGAACGTTTTCTCTTTCGTGAAAAGAACCTTGCATCTGAATCAAATTCGAAGGATTTGGGAATCTTTCCTCGCAGAAAGGATCTTACTTAACGATCTTTTTGTGAAAAAAACGTTATTGATCTTCAATTGTTCGTCTGGTTGTTGGTAGAGTAAATCGAAGGAAGTATCAAATGTCTGAAGAAAATGCTATTGCGAACTTCCGGGATATCCGCGGAACGTATTACTACGAATCTATTTCTAAAAATATATTTCTAAGATTGATAAAGATCCGCAGAGGATGTGATTAGATAAAACGTATATAATAAATAGCTTGTAAATTCCTCGTATCGTAGCGATGACTTTAAATCTTATGATATAACCAGCTTTTGTTGTCGTAGCTGTTTATGTTTATTGGAAAGCGAGTCTGATTGTGTTGATTGAAATTCTGGTTAAAAATAGACAAATCAGAAATTTTCTGAATCTGTTATAATTCTAGTTTAGATAACCAGAATTCTGCCTGATATGATTTGATATTACAATTCGTCCATTTTTAACCGGAAATAATCTTGTCCGGAAACCAGCTGCTTGTACACTGAGAAAAAAAATTTGTTCAATTGACTAAACACATTTAGTTTGCAAATTTGGTTAATTCAACAAATTTTATTTAATTGAATTTAATCTTAGTCTGCTTAACAAGCTGTTCAATGTTAAACAGACTACGGTTAAATTCGATTAAATAAAATTTGTTGAATTAATCAAATCTGCAAACAACTAAATGTGTTCAGTTAGTTGAACAAATTTTTTTTCTTAATGTAGCCGTTTACGTTTACTGAAAACAGTCTGGTTGCATCAATTGGAATTTTGGTTGAAAATGGACAAATCAGAAATTTTTCAAATCTATTATAATTCTAAGACCCAGTTTCACTTATTCATTGTCTCTTACTAATTTTAGAATTGGAAAGAGATGAGAAACAAGTTGAACCTCGGTTAAGAGTTAACCATGAGTTGTGGAACTGGGCCTAATTGAGATAATGAGAATTCTGCTTGGTATGATCAAAATTTTCTGATTTTCAATCAGAAATTTTTTTTTCAGTGTAATATTCATTAATTCTCCGCTGTGATCTGTCTCGCGCCTTTGTTCCCCACGTGTGAGATAACGGCTATCTTTAGATATCTAATGAGATTAAGTCGTTACCTACATTTGAGTCGTTCCCTCAGCTATCATAGAGACATCGAGGACGTTTTGTTGGAAGAGATCGTTTAAGGATCGGGCTCCACCTGATCCGCGAGCTTCGGGAATCTCCTTTTTCGCCACGGACTAAAAGTTTCCACGAGTTTTTACGCAATGATTTATACAAGCACTCGTACTAATCTGTCGTTATGTAAGCTAATGATAGGCGAACCCGACTCGAGTGCGCAGCGTCATTCTGGGATGTAATACCGATCTCATTGGCCGTTTAACCCTCGAGTCGATCTTGTGTAGCGTGCGACTTATCTTTTTGCGGATTTCTGAAAGGCGATGATTGTTCCTGATTCGTACAATAAATCGTATATAGAACGAAATGGAAAAAAATTTAACTAAATAAGAGAAGCAAGTCAAAGTCAGATGTTGGAATAATAAATAATTTTTTAAATATAATACATCTACAGCTGGTATTCATATTCGATTTTTCAAGTCTTAAGTTAAATGTCTTAAGATGCTACGGCTTTATAATTCATTCGTGCACTGAAAGAAAAGATTGACTGCTTCAGTAATTTAGATAGTAAAATATGGCACTTCGAATTGACAGCTGTAGTTAATTAAAAATGCTATGTCATTCAATTAATCTTTACTTTCAGTATGACATCTTAACACTGTATTTAAGATAGTTTTAAATATTATATAAGAATTGACTATAAATATCCTATATGCATTTTTAAATAAATTCAGATAAATGACAGCGCGCCGATATTCGAACTCGCAACGCAATCAAATTGAAATTGTGTTGCAAGTGCGAAAATAATCGGCGCGCAGTCATATATCCGAGATAAATTTGTTTAAAAATACATGCAGATGTATTATTCCAACATCTGACCGTAAATGGCTTATCTTACTTATATCCGTTTCTACCAATGTAGATTAACTTTAATCTCGATTCGACTTACTCTTCATCTTTTTCTTATTCTTAAAACTAGAAAAAAATGAAGAGTTAGTTGAACCAAGATTAAAATTAAACTGCATTGATAGAAATGGAAATTAGTTAACGTATTCATATGACGGTCGATCATATTTTGACTTAATGTGAAAAAAAGTTTTATTTTCGAGAGATAGTAAATCGCGAGAGAAGAAATTCGAATTTATGACTCGCGAAAACGTTAAGTAACGAGAGAAATATGAAGCAAATATTCCATATTTCTTTCTGTCAATATCCACGTGTCTGGAATAATAAATACGAATACAGTTTGTGAAACGTTTGCTTCTGCGGCGACTTTACTGTGTGATAAGACCAGTAGAATCAACTTATATAAGTAAAATCATGTTCCGATCAGAAAACACAAGATGACTTTTAATCGACCTTAAGAACTTCTTTTTTTTTCTCATCATTGTCAAAGTTTACGTAAGAAATGACAAAGTTCTACTAATATATAATAGAGTAACTTTAATCTCGGTTTAATTTATTCTTTATCCTTTTCTAATTCTAAAAATTCTTCTAATTTTAAGAAATTTTTTTCTAATTCTAAAATTAGCTTTAATCTTGATTCAACTGCACTGATTGTAGAAACAGGCACAATTCTAAGAATTAGAAAAAGAAAAGTCAGTTAAATCGAAATTAAAGTTAATCTTATATTGTATTGGTGGAACCGAGCCTAACTGTAAGTCCTTCTGATCTCACTTTTCTCATTCGACAGTTATTTCACACGTATCGTAAGGCATTCGTGATATGTTCTTGTAACGGATGCCAGATGATAACCGAGATAGTAATCGGGAATTATGTTCAATTTAGTTTTGTCGTAAAATGTGTTTCAAGTGAATCGAAATATGTTATTCGCTAATACTTGTCATAAATGTTGCGATAACGGCGTTTAAATTATTATTAAAAATAACGTTTAAATTATGTTCACACGATTATTTTTAATGGCTCCGAAAAAAAATCTCTCTTTTTCCATGGCAATTTTCTGTCTTTCTAATATCCCGAATAATTGTGACATAAGACGTCTTTAAATCATCTTTTAGACGCAAAAAACATCTTATCACCTGATTTTAGACACTTTTTGTGGTCTGGAGACTATTTATTTTAACAGAAAGATAAAATTCATGCGACGTATGTGTACTCCGTTCCTCAAAATTATCTTATCGCATGGTTTTGTAAAAAGGTCAACAGGGGGACCAGCGTTTGCTCGAGTATCAGTTATTGTTTCCTATATAAATTTAGTGATTCTTAATGCTAATGTATAGAAAATAAGTTTAAATGCACTAAGTGTCTAAGTGTTTTTTGCGATAATCCTCACGTAAGTCCCGCGATAATCAGTCGCGAAATTCCTCTCACCGTTGCGAAGCCGGCTTTTACGCTTTTTTAGATGCAAGGTCGACAGTTGTGCGCTGTATTACTATCGCAGTACATATATTTAAAAGTTAAACATTCAAATTGATGATTATATTATTCGTTCCGCGTATTTTTTACGTCGGTCTCATTCACGAAGAAAATAACGGGAAAAAATATTTAAGGTAAACCTCCCAGTATCCTGACCTATGTTCGGACACACAACTTACACAAAATTTATTATTATTAATCTCAAATGCTTTTTTTATTACAGTATTATAATTTAATTGCATTTAAAGATTACAATTAAATTATAATATTACGTTTTAAAAAGCGTATTTGAGACTAATATTAACTTAAATAAATAGTGTTATGTAAATGGATATAGATTATGTTCGGACATAGGTACATGTCCAGTCACTGGGATCAGACAGTACCTATGTCCGGACAGTTACACAAAACTTTATTTATTTATATTAATATTAATCTCAAATGCTTTTTTTATCTTAAAGATTAATTTGAATTAGTTGTCTTTTGTCATTAAACATCTATTTATATTATTATTTTCCGTCAGCATATTAATTTTCGAATTGTAGTCGGACACTGGGACAATTACGTCTCAGTATCCGACCGACTTGTCCGGCCATTGGTACATTGAGGCATTCTATTATTTATTTAAATATTTTAATTAATAATTGTTATAAGTGGGTTCAAATATTTTTTCCTTGCTAAAGGAATCTTGAGTTTTCAAATGAATACAAGTATTTATATTAAAAACTTTTTTAATATTATAAATTGTATTATTTATGAGAACCTAACGCTTAAACGTCCGGCTACTGGGACATTTACCTTATAGTCCGTCTTATATTAAAATAAATCACAAGTAATGTCTTAAGATGCTAATCTCTGATCTGTTCACAACATCTTAGACTATACTTAAGACGGTCTTAAGTATTATATAAGATACGACTATAAATATTAGCCCATGCCAATCCTATCTGAGAATATTACCTCAACTATAAATCAAATTAAATGAAATCGCGAATTATCGCTCGTTCCGTTTAGTCTTTTTATTCTTTTTTTTTTTCGACAATAAACCGAGAATCTCCGGGTCAATTTGAACTCGAATTATCGTCTCGCAGAGATCAACGCGATCGCGACATTAGGTCAGGGTTTTTAGCTGCGGAAATTTTGGGAAAAAATGGTTTTTTTATTGCTATATACATGTACTTTACCATTAAAAAAAAATGATTTCTCATTATTTTATTGTCTTCTACATGTCAATCGGTTTAAAATTGCTCTTTTTATTTCTGCCAATGTAGATTAACTTTGATCTTGTAGGTTAACTTTAAACTTACTCTTTATGTCATTTTTACGACTATAAAAAGATAAGAAGCAAGTTGAACTGAGATTAAAGCTATTTTACATTGGAAAAATGGACATAGATTAACTTACTTTTTGCCCTTTTCTCCTTCTAAGAATTAGAAAAAGATGGAGTATATTTAGCATGTTTTCTTTTTTTTCTCCTTTTTTAATCCCATATAAAAATAACTATACAAATATTTATACACGCTTCCGTATCTAGCCGTAGTCTGCAACACGTTGATAATAAAAGACAAATTGCGAGATACCACTTTAATTAATTGGAAGAAAATGAATAAAAAATGGAATCTTTTTTCTCTTCTTTCCTGAAACGCGAGCGAGATATATGTAGCGTTAAAATTCAATCGCCGATTCTTATATGGTAATTTTCGTTTCTGGATTTATCGTTATCGCATTCCATTTATTTTATTTTTTTTACACTCGTTATCTATTCGTTTGCCTTTTGAGAGACCTTTCCCGGCACGAACGACGCGATTGCTTTCGCGCGTTTTTCGAGAAGACAATGACGACGATTCACAATGATTCGTCGCGTGTTAAAGAAAAAAAAAACAGGAAGAAAAAAAAAGAAAAAACAGTCCTCGTTAGCGACGCTTGTTGATTGCTACAGATTGCGGTCGATTTTTACGAGATTGCGTTTCTACATGAGAATTTTGTCCCGACAAGGGAGATTTTAACGAGAAACTTTTTGAGAAAGCGGTCAGACACATCCCGAGTCATCGTACGCGTATACACGATTTATTTATTTTTCTTATTTTTCTCGTACTTTTTTTTGTCAATTTATACGGCCGCGATCTTGAAAAATCATCATGCGCAACATTTCGCCCTCGAATTGCGACGAACGGCTCACCGGAGCGGATTGGGAGGACTTCGCGAAAAGGATAGGTAAAAAAAAAAGTTTCGATCTAGCTATAACACGAAGGAAACTCCACAGGCCCGTGGTCACCAACGCAGCTCTTCAGATACACAGGCATTCCGCGAGCGTACGAAGAGAGATGCACGGGATGAGCTGCAACGCGAGCTTGAGAAGCTACAGGCAACCGCCTGCGAGAACAGGGCGACGATATTCAGTCGGCAGTTCGCTGGATTCCAACATCTTTTCGAGCGATTCCTGCAGGAGGAAGGCCCGTCCTTAGAATGGGATCATATTCAGAAGCTGCCCGAAGATGCGGTGAGTGAAACCCGATCATGCAGAAACAGAAAGATCAAGGAGATATCCGCGACGCTTCCTCTTTTTTTTCTTTCAAACAAATTTAAATGACACTGTGTAACAGCATATTTTTCAGTTTATTTTAATTAACAACTCCGTATTGATAATTATCGTCACTAATTATAATTAGTGAGTTGAGAACTGAAATTATTACGATTATTTATGGATCTTCTAAAAACGTTATGTACCTTATTAGTGCTTTAATTGGTGAATTCTATTAATAAATAATACAGAAATTTAATTAACTTTATAATTCTGAATTATGCTTTTTTCATAGGTCAAGAATTACAACTCCTTGCCATCACCAGAGACGAACGAGGTGAAGGAACTGCTGGATAAGTTGGTTGTCGTCAAGCTAAACGGTGGTCTTGGAACGAGTATGGGATGTCACGGACCGAAGTCCGTTATTGCTGTACGAAATGGACTCACGTTTCTTGATCTCACCGTCCAGCAAATTGAGGTATTGCGACAAATTATTTAGTTAACCTAGTTTATTCTTATCATTTACGTAATCACTGTTAGTTTTAAGATTATAATATAATATATAATAATTAAGTGTATTTCTATTGTAACAGCATCTAAATAAAACGTATAACGCTAACGTGCCACTCATACTGATGAATTCGTTCAACACAGACGACGATACGCAACGCATAATTAGAAAGTACAAAGGAATTGATATAGACATTTATACTTTTAATCAGAGTTGTTATCCGCGCATAAACAGGGATTCCCTTCTAGAACGATTCTCAAAATCACTGTTAACATTATTTTAACACGTTCACACAAAATAATACATAATTTGTTAACAGGTGGTATCCACCCGGTCATGGAGACTTCTACGAAAGTTTCCATAACTCTGGTCTGCTCAAAAAATTCATTCGTGAGGTAATAAAATTGCATTTTTCACGTTCATGCAAATAATGACACGATAATCAATTTTTTTTTAATTTGGATTTTTTGCAGGGCCGCGAATATTGTTTTATTTCTAACATAGATAATCTTGGTGCCACGGTAGACATAAAAATCTTGAAATCGTTGCTTAATAAAAGTCCGGAACCACCTCTTGAATTTGTCATGGAAGTAACTGACAAAACGCGAGCGGACGTCAAAGTGCGTTTCGTGAGAATTATGAAATTCGTCTGGAATAGCGTGAGAGCAATTCTAATTATACATTTTATTTTATAATTAATAGGGTGGTACGCTTATAAAATACGAGGATAAACTTCGTCTCCTTGAAATAGCTCAAGTTCCCAAGGATCATATTGATGACTTTAAATCTGTTAAAACATTTAAGTATTTCAACACCAACAACCTCTGGATTAAACTTAATGGTATGTGTATTTAAGATTGTCATACAATTGATTATGCCATACAATAAATATTAAAATTGTGTTTAATATATGTTGCTTCTTAAATAGCCATCGAGAGAGTACTTGAACAAAAAGCATTGAATATGGAAATAATTGTAAACAGCAAAACTTTTACCAATGGTCTAAATATAATACAACTTGAAACAGCTGTAGGAGCTGCTATGAAATCATTCGAAGGAAGTATTGGTAAGTGCTGAAAGAGATAACACTCCTGATTTAACAAAATTATTTGTTATTCTTTAATTTCTAGAATAATTTCTTTTTCTCAAGAAATCCTGCTTTATTTTAAATCGATTCTCTATACACAATTATATTTAATTAAAAATGTTTATTTGCTATAGGTATAAATGTGCCGCGCAGTAGATTCTTGCCGGTGAAAAAGACTTCTGATTTAATGCTTGTAATGAGTAACTTATACACACTACGTAACGGATCTCTCGTAATGAGTCCTCAAAGGATGTTCCCCACAACGCCTCTCATCAAATTGGGAGATAATCATTTCTCAAAAGTTGTTAATTTATACGAGTTTTATTTTTAACTTCATATGTATAGTAATATCTAGTCTCATCAATTCCTTTTCCTTTTCTTACAGGTAAAAGAGTTTCTAACCAGATTTCCGACAATACCGGATCTCCTCGAGTTAGATCATTTGACGGTATCAGGCGATGTTACCTTTGGGAAAGGGGTAACGCTGAAAGGCACCGTCATTATAATCGCCAATCACGGAGAACGTATAGACTTGCCTTCTGGAACTGTTTTAGAAAATAAAATTGTATCGGGTAATCTACGTATATTGGATCACTGAGTTGTAGCGGGAGGACAAAGCATCTCGATTCGTCTCGCGGAGAGCATATAAATGTCCGAGAGAACAGGGTCTGTGGTTTCAGCAATCGTGTCTTAGCTTAAATTAACTAGTCAAGCAATTCAATTGTATATATACATGTTATTTTATAGAGAAAGGGCAAAGATATATTTCTATAAAAAATTATTTTACTGAATTGTATATAAGAAATTGTATAAGAATTTAATAATGAGATATCGAAGAGAAATTTATATAACATATGAAGTATATACTGTTGTGTAGGAATGGAAGCCTATATAAGGCATATTATATTACTATATTATAATGAATAAATGCTCTTTCAAATTTTATTTATTTCTTTAATGAAAAACTCCTGATATATGTACATTAAATAAATGTCTGCAATTTAAAAAGTAAAAGCTAAGTGTATAAGCCAAGAAAAATTACACTCTCAATTACAAAAATAATAGAAATTAATTGTCGAATAAATTAGAAAATATCGAAAGTATCCTTTAATTTTCAAAGAAAATATTTTTATTCTATTCTCTCCCCTCCACCCTTCCTACTCGTAAGATTAGTGTCATCTAGCGATGCACGACGAATTTAATCAGTCGAAAACATCGTGACCGACGAGCTCGAAGTTCCGCAGTGCCTCACGATAGCCCGAACGAGTTAATGGAGGACAACGATGTGTTTCGATAGGATACGTGCTCGGGAATTTATGTTCATCGCGTACGCGGAGTGAGTACGCACATCCTTATCTCCTATGTTCGTCATCCAGGAGGAACGATAATTCTCGCAGGTAAATGGAGTTTTCGTCTACGCGAAAAGGGGTCGAGAACGAGGGGGGACTATCAGGGAGGAAACGCGAATTCGTCTCAGCTTGCCACAACGTCGCTAATCGCTATTTCCGGGCAATCCGGGCCACCCAGCGGATGAGTAATTAGTTTAGCTTGACGTGGATCGACTTTATGAGCAAACGCCACCGTAAGGAGATCGCTGACGCTGTTCGGAATATCGGAGTACGAAGGCTACGTCAGGCTACGTTCGTTAATCTATCGCGTAATCGCACTGCCCTTCATCGAGATTCTTGTTGGAATTAGTATGGGCGCTTTTGGGTCTAACCTACCTTAACAGTGTAACATATATTTTTAATACTGATTATTTTAATATTAATTATATAGCAGTAGAACTATGTGGTTAATCGAAATCAAATGTGTTTCTGCTTATGTTCCCGACCCTCTCGAATGTATAATACAAGAACTGTGACCTAAAAATTACATATATATTATATCATATATAATTACATATATAGCTATATATAATGTACACACATGTGTGTTATATATTTCAAAGTATAGAAACCGAAAAAATTCTTGATAAAAGTATAAGGAGAAAAATATAATAAAATATATTGAAAGAAAGGAATGAAAAAATGGAGGCAGACAGGTGGTGATAAACAATGCTAGTAATACTGCAGTTGCTGTTAACAAAAGATATTTCAATTTATTATAACAGTTATTGTATATCAGTATATCAGAAAAATGCTTTTATTTTCTTAAATATAATACTTTTATGTAAAACTGTGTTTATGTATGTTATAACATATTTTACAACTCATTTTAGAAACGTTACAGACATTCAACGAAATGGGGAAAGTCAAGAAAAGACCGGAGTTGCTGCACCGTAGCAAATCGCATAATATATTGCGCAATCTAATGCTAAGAGATTTCGGATTACACACAACACATAAGACCAGTACTCGCGAATTGGAGCCGATAGCTGAGGCTAACTTTGTGCTGAGGGACCACAAGGAATTGGTTTGTGCTTACGTTTATGATTAACTAATAATGGATCTGTTTTTTATAGCTGAACTAGTATATATTTCTTTATACTTAAAGTGAAATAGATATAAGATATTTGACGAAAGTGAAAATGAAAGTTCTAATACAGTCTAGTGCAGAACAATGAAAAACAAACTTCATATAATGCAACTTGTGTGCTTGTATAATATAACTAAGTCCTGTTTACTTTATCTCTAAGTAGATATTATACAGTAATAAATCTTATCTGATAAAATGATCTTTTACAATAATTTTTGTTCTTCAACTTCATCAATTTCTAATGGCTAAATTAATAATGATATATTTATTGCTACATATGTATATAACAGTGAGATATAAGTATTACTTATTTGCAGAAATGTGAATTACCTGGTGTTCCTAGAGCCACTTTCCTAATGGTTTTCAGTCCTGATGGGTAAGATACAATGAGCAAAATATAATTGTTTTCTATTGTTATATTAAAAGATAATATTGATAATTAAAGAAGGAAGTAATACATAACATGTGTGTAATAGCTGGTTTTATTATATAACATATAATGCAATAAAGGAAATTAGAGGAAATTATCAAATGGCAATTTCAGGACCATGGTAGCTTCTACGCATGGGAATCACAATGTTTATATCACAGAAATTACGACAGGAAAGAATATTAGAACCTTGTCCGGACATCCACGTACTCCCTGGTGCATAGCTTTTCACCCGTCTTCCAGTCAGATCTTAGCATCCGGCTGTCTAGGAGGTCAAGTTCGCGTGTGGGATTTAAGTGTGAGTATCATTTGGAATTATATATATATATATATATATAATTTATGTTAGTTATAGCCACATATAATGAAATTCACTTCTGGGACTGGAGTAAGTCTCAACCTTTCGCCGTAACTGCTACAAAGACTGATAAAGAAAAAGTGAGGTATGTTTAAAAAAAAGATTGCATTATAAATTATGATATAAGAAGAAAAAAATATTATGAAAACTATATCTTTCTTTGTAAAAATTACAGATATGTAGCTTTTGACAGTTTAGGAAGAAAATTAATCACAGGCATCGCGAATACGCCGCAAGTACAATCACAATGGGATCGGGCTCCTGTGGGACAATTACTTAGAACTAGTTTGATGTGAGTAGGAACAATGATATAAATATTACTTATTGTTAGAAATAAATTTTAGATACAGGTATGTTCATCACTAATAGCTGAATATCTTTCACGGCTTTAAATTAAAAAAATTAAATTGTTTTATTTTGATTTAATTTAATTAATGTATGAACTAAACAATGAAATATTTATTATAAATTTGTTGATAATGATCTCTAATTTCTGTTTTTAATTATTTTTCCAATCAAATAAAATTGAATATCTTAATTTTTAATTGTATTTCTGTTCATTGACTTAATTTTTTTTATTCATACTTTAATATGTGCGTTAATATATTCTAAATAATTCTGTTTGCATTGTAACCAACTCCGAAAATATTAGGAATTTTAGGTATCAACCACGAGAAAATTTCCCGGATATTGAACTTTCGCCTTTTCACTTGTGGAATCATGGTTCTTTTTATGGAAGAGGATCGGCGGACGGTAATACTGCAGATAGAACTTCTCGGTATTTTTTTTTATTCCATACAATGCAAAATTCATCAAAATTCGTCGGAGAGTTTGCGAAATTTGAATAGAAATTCTTTCAGTGCATATCTATTTATGCGCAGAGGCCACGAAATGTCCAGTTTCACGCGATTCGCCAATCAACAGTTTAGGAACAGTACACGGCAAGAAGCGCGATTTCAGCGGCGACGAAATCTATCTGAAGGTATAATATCTTCTACCGTGATATTACAGGTTCTGTGAGCTAATAAGTATAACTTCATTCAATACTTTTAACAATTGAAATTTGTTGTAATAGTTTTATACCTTACGATGTAGAACTAAATCAAACTAGAGAAGCTACAAGCATTACAAGAAATACACCTCGTCCGACCGGTAATCCAGCAAACACAGACAATATTGATAATAGATCAGCGGACGATAGTAACGATGACGATTTGCCGAGCTCGCTGAGGAGCCGCGATCGAGAATCTAGCACAATAAATGATTCTCATCCCAGGGATGAGTTGTATGAACGATTAAATAACGTGTGGGTTGGCGTGGACGAAAGATTACGCGGGAGCAACTCTCAAGATCCGGAGAGGAGAATAAATTTATGCTACAGAGATCTTGTCGATCAATACGTGACGCTCGTAAGACGTTACTTTGACGTTTCCAGAAATAGAGATACGGTGAGCTATATACATTATTATTCGCAACTTTAGCAGAATTTTTTTCTCTTATCAAATGTATATAAGAATATATTAATTTTTTTTTAAGATTGATCGTGGCACTGATCCTATGGATATGCCGGAAGCATTGTCCTCTAATTTCGAGGAGTCTAATAATAGAAACGAATCAACGGCGACTGAATTATCTATACGAAGATTAAGGAATGAATTGAATTCCAGCGCGCGAGCAAACAACACGAATCTGGAGAGGTTGCAACGATGTCAACGATTATTGATGGAACGTTCCGAGCAAGAAGAGATCGGGACCACCCTTCAAAATTTAAGAGAGGCTCTGAATGCCGCCGCCGAAAATAATAGCTCGTGCTTGGTGCGATTGCAGAAATTGCGAGAGAGATTGCAGCGGCAGACCACGACTTTATTTGAGCATTCTAACAATCGTAACTCTCGCCTTCAGCTGCTTCGCAACGCTCTGAATGATGAGATCGAAGCACTTAATAATATGGAGGCACAGTTCACTAATACGAGTTCTAGAATCGAACGATTGCGGGACGAATTCACGATGTACGGTATTCTGCCACGTAATCGGCATATCGCGACCGATTCTTCGCAGATGAATTTTAGTAATGCCGAATGGAGAACTCTTACGTCAAATGATGGACAAATGCCCAGCACTAGTTCTATGCCATCAATGTTGTCTTCGAGATTAAACGATTTAGAATCCAATGTATTCCCTAGCACAAGTTACGTTGATGAGAATGAAGAGCGTGGCATTTCATGGTCCAATGCCAACAATAGTGAAAACGCTAGCACTTCATCAAGAAGTACTGGAAGAGCAACAAGAAGACGATTCAACGATTTGAACACGGAGGACGAGCCGCCAAGGCAACGAAAGCGGAAATTAGGTCCTATTGAGTTTTCTGTGCCGATGCCGTTATCCTATATTGGTAA